AAGCTTTAGAATTTTACTCACATCAGCATCCCTACCGACAAATTTATCTTTGCGTGACGAAGACGCTTCTTGGTAACCACGAGTAAATTCACAATCACCTTGTTCTTAGCTGTCTTATAAATAATGAATAAATAATAACTTTATTTAAAGAGGGTAAAAACACTTTACAGTTATAAACYGATAAACTAGTGGCCCTCGAGCTATATATAAATATAATAAATTACAATATATATGTGTACTAAAAAGTTCTAAAAATATAAATACATATGCATACATATATATAAATTACAACATATATGTATATATATATACAGGCATATACAGCCATTTGCAAAAATTATGGTCGTTTCAAATATACATACAGGTATATCAAAAGTATATCAGACACGGCGAGATATCTTTCTTGATATYTTTTTCGGAAAGCCCAAGTGATAGACAACTCGAAATGAATATCAGTGATGATATCCCATAATTTTTGACATGCTTTTGATATAATTGTACATATATGTGGAAGCGGCCATAATTTTTGCAAATGGCTRTACACACACGTATATWYGTATATATAYACAYCCGTACACACGACGTACATACATACATACATACGCAAGCATACATATGATAATYAAGAAAAAATATAATARTATTTCCAATATTTTCAATAATTTCTGATCTCCATCATCATCAATCCCTCCCAGTACTTATAGTTGTTTCAAGGCCTTATACAAGTCATAGTCTGATCGAAAGAGTCTTTTTTGGTTGTATAGAGTCTTTTAAWTAAGCGAACGTCTGCTGCTTCGACTTGATCAAACTTTATAGAAACCTGACGTAAAAGCGCGTCAAATGATGCAGTCCTAACGACACGACTTCCTCTGTGATTTTTTCATAAAGTTATRTCACAAATTTATAGCCTGGAAATTCTATTTTTAACGTTTACGTTTTTACAAAAGCCAAACCATYACTTAATCTTGAGCACCAGCATCTTGCATTAGTATGAATATCAATTTCAGGACGTAGACGCGTCTTGATCTATGTAAACATTGATTTGTAAGAAACATCACGCCATCCACTTGTCATTTCGTCAAGGATAAACTACTTCCGTCTACACGATCGCTGATGCGTGCTTCGTTTGAATATTGGCGTAACGATTATCAGAGTATTCACCACCAAAATAGCCATTCATCTCTTTGGCACGGTTATGTTTTCGGAACACGAATTTTGACGAGGCTGTGATTACTTTATTTATTTCAACAATATTTAAATACAGGGATGTCTCATTTGGCTGAGCGTTTTTAAAATGAACCCTGTTAAAGTGTAAGTACAGTGTAAGCTACGTTACTGAACTTTTATTCYGGGGAAACATCAACGAAGGGGAGATAGATGGGGTCAAAAGCCCGTTTAGCAAATGAGGGCGCGCAACCTAAGATTTTCTCGCTTAAACTACCGACCACGGGGTATGCAAAGTGYCTCTCACCTTGATCACACTCCTAAAAAAGCATGCTAAGATTCCGCACTTACTTATTTCATAGCTGTTTTAAATATAGTAAGTAGATGTTCCTTGATTTGTGGTAAATAAACGATTGTAAAAAATGAGACCACATCTAGCGGTGTAGATCAAGCATTTACATCCTGTCCACAATTGGCAGGCGCGATTTTTTTTTAAATTTACATTTTGGTACAACGATACAACTATTTTGGTACGAGTGATGATAATCCTTCGAAATATTTCCAAAGCCAAGGCGAAAAAAGATGGTACAACATAACACACCATACACTATCTATATGACCTACCTTCTTATTTAAATTTTTTCTTAAGTTTGAAAAACTTTATTGAAAGAATCAAAAGATAATTTATCTAACGTCTTTTGGAGTCTGAGATTCTAAATGAAATACACGTTTTTAATTACCAAGAGCCAAGGAAGATGCATCTACTTACTCTATTAACTGATTGCGCTAGGCTCAAACGAAACACTAGTCAGCGGTCACGGTTATTAAGAGACGGAAGTAGATCATGACCACCTATAGTGGTTGGCGTGATGTTTCCTAGAAATCAATGTTTACAGTATAGTAGATGAAGGCGCGTCTATTGAAATTTTTGTATTCATAATCACTTGGCTTCTCTAAGACTGCAAACTTTACAGATTGAACTTCTAGGCTGTAAATATGTGATACAACCGCAAAAATGGCAGAGAGTGTCGTCGTTAGGACTGCATCATTCGACTCGCTTTTACGTCAGTTTTCTACAAAGTTTGATCAAGCCGAAGCAACAGATGTCATCCTTGAACTGAAAAGACTCTATCCAACCAGAAAAGATTCCTTCGACCAAACTAACTTGTATGGAGCCTTGATACAACTTTACGAACTGGGAGCGATTGATGATAATGGAGATCAGAAATTATTAGAAATTGTGGCTAAGAAGACATCGAAAAACAAGGAAATTGTGGAATTAATTAGTGGCTACAAGAAAGGTTCTTCGCCAAGCAAAGATGATTTTGTCGGTAGGGATGCTGATGTGAGTAACATTCTAARGCTTGTAAAGAATCRTCGCGTACCAGGAGTCAACTTGTTTGGAGATTCAGGAGTAGGGAAGACCACTTTGGCCAAAGAAGTTTCAAAACGTTTGAATAGTTTTGAAACTGTGTTTATAGATGTGAGAAATATCAAGTGCCTAAAGAATGTTTATTTTCATATTTTACAAGCACTCCATCTTCCTTCGTGGGACGACAACAATAGAGAGAGAATCTATAAGCACCTAGAAAATTTGAACCGGAAAACTGTTTTGATTCTGGACAATATTGAGCAGCTACTTCAAGAGAGTGATGCTGAACAGGAAACGAGAGCAGATTTCTTGGAATTTCTAAACGTCATCATAGGCAGTGAAGCAAGTAAAAGAGGACACTTGAAGGTCATCCTTACCTCAACCACAGAATTGAATGAATCAAAATTGAAACATAAAATGTTTACAGAATACAATGTTCAACCATTCAGCAACGATGTCTCTAAAGATTTCATCAGTAGAAGAGCCAAGAGCGATCTTTCAGATGCTCAGCAGGATGAAACAATGTATGAAATCGCTGATCTGTGTCGTAATAATCCGTATTTATTGCATGGAGCAGAGCAGATGATGAGGGAAAATTTTGCTAAACCTGCAGATGTGCTGCGAAAAATAACTGCACAACTAGAATATGGGGTACCAAAACAATTTGCTTGTATCAGTGCATTGTTTGAATCTCTACCAAATGATCACCTGAAACAGGTTGCTGTAAAGATTTCTTTACTTCGTCGTCCTTTCTCTGTGTCCACTGCAATGAAAATCAGTGCTGAAATCTCAGCTTATGATGCAGAGCTTGACCTTGAATTGTTAGCAATACACAGAATCATCACAGCAGAAGATGCGGAGCTAAAAAGAACTAACGAAACGAAGAAGAAGAGGAAGTATGACCTCCATGCACTGTTCAGGGACTTTGTTACTTCACATCTGTGCAAAAAAGATCTAGTCTACAAGGAACAGTTGAAAAATGGGGAAAAACAGTTCTTTCAACATTTTTCTGGGAAGTTAACAAAGCTTGCAAATAATTTGGAGAGTGAGTTTGTGAAAACTTATTCCAAGTTAGAGATAAACAGAGCAAACTTCGAGCTTGCTATTCACTTATCCGAGGAAAATAAGGAAACCTTGGACCTGTTGCTTCATACTGATGACCACAACCAGTTTGCACTTATGGGAATTCTCTTTGAAGTTTTAAAAGATGAAAGAGAAAGAAGAGAACTTTTTGGAAAATGGGCCGAGGCAGCCGAAAAACAGGGTATGCATATGTTATTTACCTTACTAAAGTCGGATCCGCCGGATAGGGAGAAACTGTGGCAAAATTCTTGAATATCCGTTTTTTAAGACCAAGGGCACAGTTTTTCCCTATTTGGACCTAACTTTAGGATGGTAAATTCATTCGTTCGTTCGTTCGTTCGTTCG